TGGGTGTGCAAACGGAAAACACCCAGGAGTTCACAGGCTGGGTGTTGTTTTTTCCTTCAATATTGTTCATTTAAAAGATAATATACATGTAATTAAAAACATAATTTAAATGATATTCAAATAGAAAAATAAGGTAGGCAGTGCAAAGTATGTCTCCCTCCTATTTCTGACTTCTAATAGTCCTTGTCAGTTGCAGCTGATGATACCCATTCCTTCCAGAATATTTTCTGCATTTACACGTGCAGAATTTACATGTATCTTTATATCTTGGAGCTCATTTCATACCTCTGAGTAGAATCTGCCTCATTCTTTTTAACAAAACATTCATTGTATAAATGGATTAGACTTCAAATGACCTTTGGACAATGGGATGTTGTACGCTCTACTCTAGCCCGGGTGACATCCTACTATTACCTCTCTCTTCACATAGTTGTAGGTGGATTCTCTCCCCGTCCCCCGCAATCCCCTCAAAAGTGGCAAGATCTTTGCTAACCCTCTGTGTCATCTTTCTGGTTTATTTAGAAAGAAGAATTATCTTCTGCCTGGTGAAGTTACCAGTAGATTCTCAAGGGGGCCTAAGGGACAGTGGGATACAGAGAGGAGGTCAGACTCTAGACCTACACTGTGCAATGGCAATACAATGAGGTCCACATGTGTGATTTTTAACTGTATAGTAGAAACTTTTTTAAAAAGAGTAAAAAAAAAAACCACAGGTGACATTAACTTTCATAACAATTTTGTTTAACCCACTATATCCAAAACATTATCAGTTCAACATGTAACCAATATTGAAAAATTATTGAGCTATTTTACGTTCTTTTTTTTTTTCAAACTAGCCTTTGAAACCCCATGTGTGTTTTGCTCTTACAGCAGATCTCAGTGGAACCAGCCACAGTCCAGGGGTTTCAATGGCCGCATGTGGCTAGCCACTGCCCTACTGGAGAGCACAGCCCTAGACACCCCCACCTGTTGCTGATCCACGTGAATGAACCCCTGGCTTCTCCAGGCCTCTGTTTCCTCATTTTTGAATAGAAGTTGGGCTGGATGATCTCAAGAGCTCCCCTTCATCCTAATGTCCTCTGACTTTCAGTGCTAAAAATGGAAGGTCAAGGACAAGCCAAGCCAAGTAGGTCTTATATAGCAGCTTAACCTCACCATCTGTAAAATGGGGACAATCCACTGTCACCCTGATCAGAGTGAGGATGAAAAATATGGCAGCCAGTGAGGATGTGCTTTGGGGAGGAAGAGAAATGAGGCATGTTGTGGGGTTGGTATTAGGATTGGGATTGACCCCAGTGAGTGCTCAGAATCCACTCACTAGACCCAAGGTTGCTCCCTGGGTTCACTTCTCTGAACCCCACTCACCTCATCCATGGGTAATGTGGGGCTAGGAGTTTCTCCTAGATCCTGGAAGAGATCAAATAAGGCACCCATGTAGAGGGCTTGGTGCCATGCACACAGGAAACTCTCCGTTGCTAGAGACGGGCTGCCATCCCCACCGCTCTGGTTGCAGCCCAGAATGGGGAGTGGCTTGCCCAAGGTCGCAGGGTGAGATGGTAGCAGACGCTGGCCTCTTTTGGCTCCCTCCTTGTCGCTAGCAGCTGTCCCGAAAGTCAGCCACTCATTTCCTCATAGCAAGGTGAATGAGATAAATACACCCGAAACCGCTGAACTACTTGAATGAGGCCTGGGTCCAAGTATTGTTTCCATGGTATGTACACTGGTGTGCACGTATGTGATTTGTTTAAAATCACAGCTCCAAAGGGCGGAGGCTGGCTTGGCAGGATGTGCCACCCAGCACCTGGCTCCCAATGTTCAGAGCCCCATGCCACGACCAGTGCCAGATTCCACCAGATTTCCAGCAAAGGGCCCCCTCGAGATGGCACATCAACTACCTTTGGCGAAACTAGGGTGGTGCAGAAAATTAAAATTAAAACCCAGGAAGCCCAAATCACTACATATTATATAACAATAACAGGAAGCCCTTTCTTCTGGGCTTTTGCTATGTGAGGTTGCTGAGTACCGTGCATTCACCATTTTAATTAATCCTTCTGGTTACTCAGGGAAGTGGTCACTGCTTAACAACCCCCTTTTACAGATAAGGAAATGGAAGTTCCAAGAAAATAAAGAACTCACCTGGGAGCACACAGACAGAGCCAGAAGGGGCCTTAAAAATCTTCTCTGGGGCAGAAGGGTCACCAGCCACCCCCATTGACCCAGGAGCCTCCTGGACACTGGACATTCACAGACTGGGACAAATGGGTCTCCCTATAGTAGCTTAATTTATTCGTCTGTAAAATGGGGATATTCAAACCTGACCTTGGTGAGAGTGAGGACAAAAATATGGCAGCAGGGCGCCTGGGTGGCTCAGTTGGTTAAGCGACTGCCTTCGGCTCAGGTCATGATCCCGGAGTCCTGGGATCGAGTCCCATATCAGGCTCCTTGCTCAGCAGGGGGTCTGCTTCTCCCTCTGACCCTCCCCCCTCTCATGTGCTCTCTCTTTCTCATTCTCTCTCTCAAATAAATAAATAAAATCTTTAAAAAAAAATATGGCAGCAGATGAGGATGTGCTCTGCGGAGGAAAAGGAGGGAGACAGAGTGTTGTGGGATTGTTATTAGGATCAAGGTAGACCCTGGTGAGTGGCCTCAGAATCTGTTGGCTGAGGCACAGGGCTTGTATCTCTCTCTCTCTCTCTCTTTCTCCCTCTCTCTCTCTCTCTCCCTCTCTCTCTCTCTCTCTTTCTCTCAGCAGACACTGAATATCCCTGCTTCTCCCAAGCCCAGCCTCTTTCCAGTTCCTTCCAAAGATCAAATTGCCTAAGGCCAAAGTGTGAGAAACAGCATCCCAGTTTCCCAAGCACCAGCCAACAGCCCTTCCTGATTTGAAAACCAACTGAGAAGGAGGAAAAGCTGAGCGTGACTAGGAAGGCTTGTGGATCACTTTATTCTTTTTCTTTTTTCTTCAGCCAAGCCCAGGCTCTGTCCTTTTTAGGGTCTGGCCCAAGCCAGAAGTGGAAGGAAAGCCCTTGGAAGCCTTGCCTTCCCAAAAGCTCACCTGCAAGTCCCTTCTTTAATTAAAGAATGGAGTCCACTCAAGAGGGATCTAGAGGTCCCAGCTATCTCTGCCTCCAGCTAAACAACAGAATATCCTGGGTTCGGTACCCAGAAAAAATGGGGCTTGGGGAGTGTTAAGGAAGCAAAGGGGTCGGGGGAGGACCGATCCTCCCCAGTGAGGAAAGACACAGGGGTTCTGGATGGTTTTCTCCACAAACCGGACCCCCAGCAGCAAGATGCTGAAAGACACTCAGCCGGCCGACACACGGGTCACACACGCTTACACACACAGCAGAGAAATGACACAGCATGAGGGCAATGCATGAATACACAGAGAGAAACACTCATACACAGCGACGCCAGATGGAGAAGGCAGGCCAGGCCGGGCCTGGGTATTCATTATTCCCTCACCCACACAGAGGGGCTGGCGGAGTTACATAATGCAAGCTGCAAAAGGGGGAGGCTCACTTACTAACCATCCCGCCTTGAGGGGATCCAGGAAGTGGCACCTCCTTCTTGGGGGGCGTCTGCACCCATCTCCTGCTCACAGAGGCAGTGGGAGCTTGTCAGCTGCCTCAGCCCCCGGATGACCCCGGGAGTTCGCTAAAAGGGAAATGAGGGAGTGAGTGTCACTTAGTTAATAGTGGCAAATGGGGGCTCCTTCCTTGCACTAAGCATGGTGAGGATGCGGGCAGGGAAGGGTGTTCGGGGTAGAGCTGGACCCTGGACTTGAACAGGGGGGGTAGAGCAAGATGGCGGGGTTCTCTGCTGCCTCCCACCTGCCCCCACTGCACCCACAACCCACAGATCACCTGCTCCAAGTCAGTCACATGCGACCCACGTCCATAGCTGCCCTCTGTGTTCGTCCCACACGTGTATATGCCTCGTCTGGGCCACAACATCCCCAGCTGGGCCCCCTGTGGCCCCTTGGCACCCCACCCATACCCCATTTCTCCAAGCCTGGGGGAGCCAGCGGGAGTTGAGAAAATAACCAGAATATGAGGTTTTTCCAACTGGGGTGTAAGCTTAAAAGCTTGGGCTCAAGAGTGGGGCAGACCTGAGCTCAAAGCCTCTCTTTGCCGTCATTTCTACGTGACTTTGGACAACTAACTAAACCCCTTCCCAGGCTTCTCATCTATTGAAGGGTAACCATGAGGATCAAAAGCAAGTATATATATATATACATGTGTGTGTATATATATACACACACACACACACACACACACACATACATTAAGAGCATACTTGTTCAATAAGTGTCTTCTATGTTTAATCTTTTGGCATTTTTCTTCATTCAACAAATACTCATTGAGCACCTGCTGTGTGCTTATGATAACCCTGGGGTTTGTGTGGACCCATGTCTTTGGTATTTAATACACCACATTGGCTTTATAATGGTTTGTAATGTGGCCAAATCTGTCCTTTGGGGCCTGGAACTAGTCGATAGTTACAAAAATGGTCAGAAAGGGCAATTGACACCCTTGGTGGCATTCCCCTTCCAGTGGGTCTGTTGTGGGGACTCTGGGAGATCTGTGCTGGCTGAGCTCCTGACATGTGAATGGAAAATGTTTGTAAGACACAGAGAGCCAAAGGCCACGTGACAAGTTGAAATGGTGGCTTCTCAAGATGGGAGAGATAAGAGATGAGATTGTGCTTCTTGCCATTTGACTTCTAGGCTATCAGTGGTTTCCCCAGGGAGACCGTTGGTCTCGGGGTTCTTCGATCATGGGAGATGAAACCGGGCAATTTGCAGCTAACGGGGAAGTTACCCCCTCCCCTCAAGGAGGAAGGATTTCATTTCGAGGTTGGCTTCCAAACTCCAGGGTCTTGTGGCTAGAGTTCTCAGTTTGGCTGCATTTCCCACCTTGCTTTGGAAGGTGGCATTGGGCACTCCACATCAATCTCTCTTTTATAACTTCACCCCCTCCCTTGTTCCTTCTCTCCAGCACAGGTCTGACGGGCTGGCGATGCCCAGAGAATAGTGTACAGGAGCTTGCGTCATCTCGAGACACATCTAGACACATCCACCAGACACTTCTCCACCCCAGTCGGCCTGACCTGTTGCTTAGGGACACGTCCCACTGCTTCTCCTGACGTCTGCCTGATCGACCATCACTTCCTAGAGAGAACAAGGAGGAAGGCAGACGCATGAAATCATGCCACCAATGGCCGGATGGCAGTGAGTGGGTGACGCCGAGTTGACGTCAAAGACGGAGAAGACGAACCCAAGAACAGCTCGCTCTTGAGACTCCCCGAGGCCCCAGCCCCCAGCTCTTCCTCTCAGCTCGGCGTGAAGCCTGGCTCCTCCTGGTGAAATCAGCTTGGCCTGACATATTTTAAGTCTTCGGACCCCTGGACACTAGACACCATGGAGAATCAGGTGTTCAATGTTCAGCAGATCCAACCCAACGTCATTTCTGTCCGCCTCTTCAAGCGCAAGGTTGGGGGCCTGGGCTTCCTGGTGAAGGAGCGGGTGAGCAAGCCACCCGTGATCATCTCCGACCTGATCCGAGGGGGTGCCGCGGAGCAGAGCGGCCTCATCCAGGCCGGCGACATCATCCTCGCGGTCAACGGCCAGCCCTTGGTGGACCTGAGCTATGACAGTGCCCTGGAGGTGCTCAGGGGCATTGCCTCTGAGACCCACGTGGTCCTCATTCTGAGGGGCCCTGAGGGCTTCACCACTCACCTGGAGACCACCTTCACTGGGGATGGGACCCCCAAGACCATCCGGGTGACACGGCCCCTGGGTCCCCCCACCGCAGCTGTCGATCTGTCTCACCAGTCATCGGCCAGCAAAGAGCACACACCGCCAGTGGACGGGACCCTGGGGCCTGGCAATGGGCCCCAGCATGCCCAAGACAGTGGGCAGGGAGCCAGTGCACTCTCGAATACCAACAGCCTGGCTCGCAGACCCCCTGGCCAGGACCCTACCAAGAAAAGCACCGGGGTGGCTCTCCAGGACAGCCAGAACAGTGAATTGCTCAAAGAGATAGAGCCTGTGCTGAGTCTTCTCACCAGTGGGAGCAAAGGGATCAATGGAGGGGGACCTTCCAAGGCAGAGACAAAGGATGCAGAAGTCCAGGTAGACAGGTAAGCTCTACAGATGCGTGCGTGCATGTGTGCATATATGTGCTGAATGCAGACATGTTCTGCAGCTCGACATCAGACCCAGGAGACATCCTGAGCTGTTCCAGACACACATAATCACATCCACTCGACCACTCTTGCCTCTTTCCCTTAAACCTGCAATTGTAAGAACGGAATGGGCGTAACTTGTAGCCTGTATCTCTAGCCATGAGAACCAGAGCTAAGAGTCATGGTAGCTGATGTCGTGTCTTCCAGCAACCCCTCAAGGTGGGTACTTTTGGGATCTACAATTCATGGGGCAGAAGACTGAGGCTAAGAGGGAAGGGGGCTCTCCCAAGTCATCCAGTGAGCGAGAGGTGCGTGTCCATGGTAGCCTTGGCATAGGGTGAATGCCAAGGTCCTGGGAAGAGATCGGGGATGAGCTGAGGCCTGAGTAACCCTCAGCCTAAACCAGCTGTCTCCTTGTGACAGCCACTTGGGAGCAAGGGAGGTTCTAAAGGAAGGGACTGGAATCAAAGTAGAGAACTGGCCCCAGCTCCCCCAAAACAGTGGTCTTGCTCATATTATATAGGAGCTAAAGCTAGAACATGAAGACCTGGGTCCCGGCCCCTCTGCATTTGCCAGATTGGCATTTTCTGATTCTGGAGAGGAAAAGAGCAGGCGATACAGTGGGTGATTCTAACTCCTTCTTTGGGGAGGAATTGGCAGCTGGGCTAGGGGGTCAGAGAGTAGTGGGTCCAGAGATATGAGAAGGAGGGAAGTTTCTCTCTGCCCCCTTCTGCTCTCATCTTAGATTAGCACTAACCCTACAGCTCTTACTTCTTATCCACCCCCCACTACAGAGGAGGCTCAGGTGTGGGGCCACCCCGAAACCCAGGTCAAGATTTCCCAACCCCCTCCCCAAAGACCCCTGAGTGTCTAGAGAGCCTTTAGAGGTCCCCATGATATCCCTCAGGGATCTGGATTAAAGCACCTCTCCACGCCCCTGCACTGATGCATTTAACAAATGTTCATTGAAGACCTACTGTGGCCAGGCACTGCTCTGGGCACCAGGGATAAAGCAATGAATGGAACAGACAAACCCTCTGACCTTGTGAGTGAATGAAATAGACAAGCCCCTTGACCTTGGGGAGCTTATGGTGTAGTGGGGAAGACGAAGAATAAATGAGATAAAGATGTTAAAATATGTGGGCCATCAGTGATATGTGCTAAGGAGATAAATGGAACAGGGAAAGGGTCAGGAGGTACTGGGGAGGGTGAATTTTAGAGAGAGAGGCTGGACAGGTCTCAAGGAAGGTGACATTGGAAGACCCTGAGGAAGGGGAAGAAGGGCACCTCGAAGCTTTATGGAGGAGGGACATTCCAGGCAGAGGGAATGGCAGGTGCCAAGGTCCTGAGGTAGGAGGGTGCCTGATGTGGTGGAGGAACTATATGGGTCCCAGTCTTCCTTCCTGATGAGTCAGCCCCCAAACTGCCCTTTGTGGGGGGGGGACCTCAGTCTGTGGCACCCCACCTCAGCCCACCATTGCTTCCTGGAGCTTTTCTAACTTTTCACACCTGGGCAAAAACCAAGCCAATTCCAGCAAGACCCCAAGAGGGAAGATGAGGCTGTGTCAGAAGCCCCCAGAGGTCCCCTGCTCCCCTTTGAGCTCCTGTCCCCCAACCTGCTCCCTTCTGTCTTCTGCGCATTCCTGGGGGCAGCTTGGAGTGTTCCCCGTACTTTTGGTCCCATCTCTGCAGGAGACAGAGAGTTTTGGCCCCATTACCCAGGACATGGTGTGACCCTCTTGGTGGGGCAAGTGGCTGGGAGCCCCTATCGTCCTGACCTTCCTTTCTGGAGCTGGAGGCCGGGATGGGTCCTCGGGGCTGTCCTGGCTTGCGGAGATTTGGGGCCCAGTTCACCCACGACTAGCATGGAGACCCCCACTCCAGGCACGAACCCAGTCCTCAGGGGAGCTGCCACCTCCCAGGACTCCCTAAGCAGCACACACTATAGAGATGACATAGTCTTGATGTAGCTTCTGGGAAGCCAGCAGCCTCCAAGTCTCATTCAGTGGCTTTAAATCCTAAAGCAGTTGTCGAGTCCAGATTCAATCATTGGTCTGGTTTTCCGGGAGACACCAGAAGTGCCTTCCTTCAAAGATTCCTGGGCATAACCCCTTCCTCAACAGCCCTTCTCCCAGGAATTGCAGCAGGACCCTGAGTAAGAGTGGCATTCCCTCCTGGGGGCTGGATCTAGTGTTCCGTACACTTGGTTCTGATTCTCAGCTGGGTGCGGGGCGGGCGTGGGGTCAGGAGCATAGGAATTCCATGGGGCTTTATTTCAGCCCTACCCCAGACCCAGGAGCCTGAATCTCCCTGTGTGATATGGACAAGTCCCTAGCAGGTCCCTCCCCCTCCCAGAAGCCAGGATGACCCTCTCCCAGCCGACAGGGTAGGACACACAAGCCCAGTGCAGGACACTAGGCTGGGGGGAGGTCATGAAATATGAAGGACTTGAACAGGAGCCCTCTTATCCGCCAGGCCTGAGGGGCCTCTCCAAACACCCAACTCAGAAAAGCAGCCTTCCTTTCCCCAAGGAGGAGGGGAGGGCACGCTGGTCTGACATGGGGTCTCCTCTGGCAGACCTATTCTCCCAAATTGGGAGGGTGCACCTGAGCTCTCGACCTCCTCTTATCCATGACAGCCTTCCCTCCAGTGACCAAAAGGAGCAGAAAACACTGCTTTGGAGGAGGTGCCGTTTGGAAGAAAGTGACTCAGGGCAAGTCCAGGGCTCCATGAACCCTGCTGAGGGAAACGGTTCTAAGGATGAGTATTCTCTAATACTAGTGCGTGTTCCCCTGGCTCGATCGCTCACACCTGTGCTGGACCCAGAACCTGCCCCTACCCTCCGCCACTTTAACAAATATTCTTAAATGCCCCCTTTACTAACCAGGAGCTAATTCGTGGATCATATAACCTACTCACGCTTTACATTTGTTAATAAATATAATGCCCTGACTATAAAATAAAGGAGACCAAGCATAAAAATAATTTACAGTAGGGGCGCCTGGGTGGTATAGTCCCTTGGGGAGCTTATGGTGTAGGGTGAATTTTAGAGAGAGAGACTGGACAGGTCTCAAGCAAGGAAGGTGACATTGGAAGACCCTGAGGAAGGGGAAGAAGGGCACCTCGAAGCTTTATGGAGGAGGGACATTCCAGGCAGAGGGAATGGCAGGTGCCAAGGTCCTGAGGTAGGAGGGTGCCTGATGCGTCCGACTCTTGGTTTCGGCTCAGGTCATGATCTCAAGGTCGTGGGATCGAGCCCCGCATCAGGCTCCATGATCAGCGGGGAGTCTGCTTTGGTTTCTCTCTCCCTCTCCCTCTGCCCCAACCCCCTATGTGCGCTCTCTCTCTCAAATAAATAAATAAATCTTTAAAAGAAAAAAAGTAACTTACAGTATCAGAAGCTATGATGTAATATATCAGGGCTCGGATATCTGCCCCTACAGGTAGAATTAGCCCGCACGCAAGTGTCAAATGCAGATTTGGGGTGAGCGGGTGTCACAAGCATGTTGTTTAGGCAACTCAGACACCACCAGCAGCATCGCCTTACTGATGCGATGATGTGATTTTCCACAGTGGTGACCGGACTCCCAGTAAAACGATGTCCCGTCTTTACTTGCAAGTTGCAAGCACGGAAAATTCAGTATATTTTAAAGCCACGTTTATATGTAAAACCAAGTTGGGATCTTGGCTCAGGAATCTCAGCTTGGGTTGGATCTCGGTGGATGTCCAAAAGTTGCGTGGCAACCAGGCCCCTTCTTCCTAGTGTGGGTTTGTCCCGGGCATGACAGGATGTCGTTTTGGGGGTGGGGGTCAGAGCTGGCTTCTGGATGGCCAGGTGACGGTGAGGCCGGCCGCCCACCAGACTTGGAGCCCCACATCCTGGTCACAGGCAGCGGTCTGTGGCTTTTGGGGGTCCAAGCAGAGGCTGGGGCCATCCCTGGTTCTCAGCACTGCCCTTGACTTTCCTGTTCTCTTGGCCTCATTTCCTTCCTTCCCTCTTTCCTCTTCTCCTGCTTCATCTAGTTCCTTTCCCTCGCAGGGCATCCTGGGTCCTGTCGTTCAGGGATGCTGGCCCTTCGCTGGGGGGAGACACGATGGTTAGTCTAGACGCAGCCTCACCCTGGATCCCAGGGGGAAGGTGGGCCTGGCGGGTGGTGGCAGCGTGTGGGGTGTGTAAGGAAGGGAAATCTGGGGGCTTCTGGGACCTTCTGCCCTTGGGAGCGGTCACTTTAAAATGCTGCGTGTCAGAGGATATCCAGGTTGTTCAGCTTGCTGCCCTGAAGGAGGGTTCTAAAGAGGCCAAGGTCCCTGGTCCAGCATCCATCTGGACCAGCCGGTCAGCCTCGCCCTGCACTGTGATCACTTCCCCTCCACCTGCAGGGTGCTCGGGTACTTACAGAGTACCTTCCCAACAGCCATGTCTTCAGAGCTGGGGTGAATTCCGCTCCCTAAGCGGGCTGTGTGGTTTGGGCCCCCTTATCGACAAGAAAACTGAAACTCCGAGAGGTGGAGCAGTTTGCCCAGAGTCACACAACACAGGCCATAGGGTGCTGTCTTGCTTCTACCTAGAAGTCTCTCTGTGGGCATCTACAGTTAAAGAGAAACCAGGCCAGAGAATGTGGTTGGAGGCACAGAAGTCAATTTCCACCCTAGAGAATGAGCTTAATTGGGGAGAGGAGCTCTTCCGTGACAAGCCTGTGTTTTATGATCATGTTGCGGGTCAGCATGTACTGAGCACTCCATGTGGGCCCGGCCCCATGCGAAGGTCTTGACATCGATGAATTCATTTGCTCCTCATAGCACCCCGTTTTCCTAATAAGCAAACCAAGGCTCAGAGAGGTGCAGTCACTTGTTCCAGGTCACACAGCTTGTAAGAGACAAAGCCAGGACTTGACCTCAAGCCCAAGCTCTTGGGCTCGAGACAGCACTGTTGGCCACCCCGTACTTGACCACTA